GGTCAAGGACATCACAAGAAAAACCACAGAATCAACTAATATGGTCTCATAGTGGATCATAGAGACTGAACTGACAATTAGGGAGCTTGCCTGGGACTGACCTAGGCTCTCTGCACATATGTAGACCTAGGCTTTCTGCACGTATGTTACAGTTGTGTAGCTTGGACTTCTTGTGGGACTCCTAACAGTGGGAACAGGAGGTGTCTCTGACTCTGTTACCTGCTTTTGGGACCCTTTCCTCAGCCTGTGCTCCTATAGAACCCAGTGGTGGAGCTTCCATAACAACCATTAGTTAAGAAAATGCACTACAGGCTTGCCTATGGGTGAATCTGGTGGCAGCATTTTCTCAATTGTGGTTCCCTCTTTCAAAATGACATTAGCTTGTGTAAAGTTTACATTAACTAGCCAGCAAAACACTCTTGTTTTCTTTTGTCTCCCCATCTCTCTTTCCTTTATTCATTTTTTCTTAAACATTATCTCATGTACCCTAGGCTGATCTTGAACTCACTGTTTTTGCAGGGACTGCTCTTGAACTCTTAATCTTTTGCCTCCACCTTAGAAGTGCTTCGATTACAAATGGGGGCTACCACACTGTGTTTAACCCTTTCTTCTCTTGTTTGTTTTCTCAGGATTTTAGGCTGAGTGATGGCAAAGATTTTCATATTTAATAGGTTGTTCCATTACAAGTATCTGTGTATCATAAATAGCACTCTAGCAATTATTAAACTGGAGAATGATGTCAAAATAATCTGAAAGTTCAATTGTTTCATTGATGAATTTTCTTAGCACTTTAATCTTCCAAGTAAGCAGAAGCCAACTTCCACATATTCAAGCAGACTTCGTCATACAAAAACTTTAAAGTGCAGAATCCAGCATAAAATGCTGTCTTAAGCATAACTATCCACAGGTTTAACGGCTTCAACCTTTAAGTTTTCAACCATATGAAACGGTGTGGCAAAGCTATGAGCACTCAGTGAAGCTGGGAAGACCTTTTACCATGTGTTTTAAAAAATTGACTACTCTTCAATTCAGTTTAAAATTCTGATAATGGCATCTACTAAAATTCAATGCCAGTGGGGACAAACAACAGGGAGGAGACATTACATAGATGACTTTTGCTGCATTCAAATGCCAGTGAAGATTTAATCACCAGAGTATTTTTATTAGAATAGCTATCTTTTTTGTTAATGCTCTGACTTCAAAGTTGTTTCACATTTAAGTGGTCTTGTTTAACCATTTCCTGGAAGCCCTGTTATCTGTAGTATATAGGTTTTTAAGAAAACAAAACAACAACAAAGAAAATGTAGAGCTTCTCTAGGAAGATAATATATGACATTATAGCAGGAGGTCTGACAACTCTTCTCCCCCTTGTTTAAATCTGCATTGCATCTAGTTTGATGTTAGCCACATAATATATGCTTAGCAAATACTTGTTTCCTTTTAGTCATCCATTGATTTATATATATTTTGCTGTGACCTTGGAGTTAATTTTTTCCTCATTCTTTTTTTCTAATTTGTGTTTCCTTTATTTTTTTCTATGAATGACAGACTGTTTAGGTGAGGACAATGGATGTCTTTAAGGTCAGTCTGAAGAAAGATACTTTTCTTTCTTCCCATAGCTGAAGTAGGACTTGATGCCATCCATACTCATGAGAAACTAGAGGGAGAGAGCAGAGAATCAATAGGTCTAAAGTATACTTTTGCTACTGTAGCTGATGGGTATAGTTTCCTTCTTTCTTTCTCACCAGAGAAAAGACAACCTTTCCCCGCCCTCCCCCACCAAGCCTATTTGTGAGTCACAAGAAGGAAAAAATTTAAAGGAATGTAGGTGAAGTGAGATCAGCCCTGAGACAGCAGTTGGTGAAGTGCTAGGTTCATAGTTAAGGGACAAAGTATCCTTGCCTGAGGCTACTGTTTTCTTTTTTGTGTGTTAGTTTCCAAGAGAGACCAATGACCCTGATTCCTGAGAAAAGAAAAAAAAGTTTCTGTTTGAGTATTTGCTTTATAATTTATTTTTCACATTAAATAGAGCAAAATGCTGAAAAACAAATGGCAAGACTTAAGACAGAGTCTAGATAACCCCAATATAACTAAATGTAAGCCACATTAGGAACACACTTTTCCACTTTTTGTAGAGATTCCAGATCTTCTATAGGTGTCCAATTGGTTAGCAAATGGAGCTTTGTTCGGCCTGAGGACAGTGAGAGTCAACATTGCATTCAAAACATATCAATTCAGTTTCAAGTCCATATATACATGGACTTGAATTCATATCACTATTCCTTTCCAATTCCCCTCCCTCCACTTTTTAAAACAATGACAGTGATGTATGTGTACAAGTAGGAACCTTCATAATCATTCAAATAATAATGTTCAATTGTTATCTATCCTGCTTCTTATTTTATTTATTTATTTGGTTTTTTGAGACAAGCTCTCACTATGTCAAATTGGCTGTCCTGGAACTTGCTGTGTAGACCAGGCTGGCCTCACATTCATAGAGATCTGCCTGCTTCTGCTTGCTCAGTCTGCCATTATTCCCTGCCCTGTCTCCTCTTGCAACAATCCTCCACCTTAGGTTTTTGTTTGTTTGTTTAAATTATGGAGTCTTTGCATATGCTATCATCGGTTCCTTTGCCTGTGTAGAGTGCTTTCTGTGCTTGTTTGTATGGCAATTAGTCAATAAATTTTTGTTAAAGACTTCTCCCGATAGTCAGAGAGCTTCATGACAATAAACTACATTTTGTAGTACTAGGTTGCTGGTACTTAATGTCTTTCAGTAGACTTTTAGCAGTTATGTCAAATGGTTTCTTCTTCAGGAAGGTGCTCTTGAGCCCCTGACATGTACTGTCACCTCTTTTTGTTTCATGATGCAATTCTTTTCGCCTGTTTCTTCCAGTAGCCTAAAGGGCAGAAATTAGGTCAACTTTAGCCTTCCAACATAAATCGCTTTTATACCATCTGGCATAAAAATGTTTGCTGAACAGATTATTGAGCAATGTTTAAACTTAGTCCATTGCTTTGATCCATACTTACATTTCTTCTACAGGAAGTATGTGAAAATGTTAGCCATACCATTCATTATCTTTCTGTAGCACCTACTATTTTTTACTCAGTATTTCAGGTGGGGTGACATTTAGAGAAATTCAATTGTGTATGTGTGCAATGAGTCAAATTCAAAATATACACCAAATTCAAAGTTAAGCATGATGTTTAAGAAAGCAAATGTATCTTGGAGCTTCTGTCCATTGTATCTGAGAGCAATTATTCCCATGCTGCCATCCTTGGGTAGCTAGCTACTTCAGGAACAAAGATTGTAACACAAATCTTAAAAGGTCTTATAATAAAAAACCTGAGGCCAGTTATTGGAGTGAATGCTGGAAGATCAGAGAAGCAGAACAAGCCACAGCCAACCTCACCTTGCCAACTCCTCAGCCGACCCTGTTTCCACAAATCCTCAGACTAAAAGCCTCTGAGTTCTCACCCCTGAGGGTCTCAGTAGAATTGCTCAAAAGCCTCTGGTTCCTGTTCCTCATGCCTTATATACCTTTCTGCTTCCTGCCATCACTTCCTGGGTTTAAAGGCATGTGTCCTTCCCAAGCAAAGTGATATGAGATCTCAAGTGCTGTGATTAAAGGTGTGTGCCACCATGCCTGGCTCTGTTCCCAGTGTGGCCTTGAACTCACAGAGATCCAGACAGATTTCTGCCTCCCAAGTGATACAATTAAAGGCGTATGTGCCACCATTGTCTGGCCTCTATGTATAATCTAGTGGCTGTTCTGTTCTCTGACCCCCAGATAAGTTTATTAGGGTACACAATATATCAGCCACAATAGATATTCTGTCCACATGATTAAAATGGAACTTAATGATAAAGACAAAGCTGGGGTTTGCTCTCTTTAGAGATATAGAATCATTTCGCTTTATTGTTCAAGTTATTTGCATCATCACACCCATATGATGGCCAATTTTTTCCTAATAAATGCTCAATATATTTTCTGGTACAAATTCATTTCAGCATAACTAACTTCAAATTGAATTGCAGAAGGCCAAAAGGACATGTTTATGGACTTGATGTTTATGCTTATATTACAAGTGGCTTCCCCAATACTTGGTCCCTAATTCCATGATGGTTTGGTGGTTCCTTCAAACCCTGCTTTTATAAGGGCCTCCTTGAAAAAGATTGGAGAAATCTAATTCCTGAAGATGAAATAGTAGGGATAGCACATGGGCTGAGGACTATGTATGCTGCTCGCTGGTGCTGCATTAAAACACCAAGAGTTGTCTAGAGATTTATCTTTCAAACAAAGTTTTGACACACAAGATCTTATTTACTCTTCACAACAACCCTAAACCTAAACTAGCTTGGGCAATTGAAGATAGAACTCAATTCAATAGTAAACTGTAAAGAGATGCTTTGGATAAAGAGCTTAATATCACCCTAAGGATTACTTGGTGAGGGACTGGTGGCTTTAACCACTAACAGCCTGGGAAGAAAGCAATGACTGTATTTCTTTGGCCACAATGCAATCATGGCAACAGAAGCACCCACTCTTTCCACTTTGACCCATACAATCTGTCTAGGCAATTAATCAGAGCTCCCAGTGGTTTTCCTACACGTTGCCAGTTGCCTTGCTAATTAAACCTTCCCACAGAGTGTAGCAAGAGCACACCCCCTGAGGGCCCTCTGACTAAGGAAGGTGCCTTGACCAACATTAGTGAAAGCTGAGACTCAGGTGGCCTTGTCAGTAAAATGCACAGGAGAATCCTCCTCACTCAGTTTCCCTATCTCTAAAATGGGCTATCCTTTATCCGTCTAGACTAGTTCCCTTCCATTTGGTAGTAGGCCATCAGGAAGTGAAATCAGTGCTTAACCACAGCAGAATGTCCTCTGTTAGGCTCCAGTCGCCACTCCGGGCATGCTCAGTAGCCCGACCGGCTTAGCACCACGAGTAGGAAGAGGCTTTCAGCGCCCGCCTGGGCGACCGACAGCGGGCACTTTGATGAATCACGTGTGCTGAGGCCGTCTTAAAGAGATAGGCACCTACTTTTCCTCCACCCTAAACACCGCCCTGAGGGCGGAGGCGACCGCGGTGATTGCAGCTGCTTAGGGGCAGGGCTTGCCCCAGCGCTGAGTGGTAGCACCGGCGTGGTTGCGTCGGGGTTGCCTGGGAGTGGGGCGACCCAGGGGGGCCTGGGAGCGGCGTTTGGCGGGCAACCCTCTCTGTCCGTGGACGCGGGACATCCGGAGCGCTCCGAGGGGCTTTTGCCCTTGAGGAGACGTAGGGTTCCGGGGCGGCAGGTGACAGGGCCAGAGAAAGATGGAGCAGCTCGGGGCGGCGGCGTCGGGAGCTGGAGGCGGCGGCGAGGAACCCGGCGTGGGCCGGAGCAACAAGCGGAGCGCGGGGAACCGGGCCGCCAACGAAGAAGAAACGAAAAACAAACCCAAATTGGTAAGTGCTCCCGCAACCCCAGCCGGCCTTGGGGACTCGGGTCGTCCTGCTGTGGAACACGCGGGGGGACCCAGGTCCCCCTCCCAGCTGTAACCGCGGTCTCGCCGCGCAACTCGGGGAACGGAGACGGCGTGGGGGCGGAAGAGCACCCCTTCTCCACTTAACCCGGCCCTCTCCCGTGTCAGCTCGTGGAGAAGAAAGGCCCCACCCCGACTTGGGGACACCCCGCGTCGCGTCCTAGAGTACTGGGTAGGGCTGTTTGTCTAACTTGTGGGCGCAAACCTTCTTTGCGGGATTCCATTTCCCTCCCACCTCTTGTCAGTTGCTGTTTGGCCTCTTAACACTTGGGGTCCGGGGCAAGGGAACCTCCCTCCTCTCCGTTTCGAACACATTGTAGCCCACTCTTAGCTACATAAATCAAGACAAGCACGACATAGGTTCCCTGGTCCTCGACTTTGCCAGAAATTTCAAGGAAGAGGAGCCTGCGTGCGTTCCCCCCACCATGTGCTCGCCCAAGAAACATTTCTTTGGAAGCGTGTGGCTTGAGGGGAGCGTGGGAGTTGGAGGCTAGGCGAGGAACTCCACCCCCGACTATCCCGACACAGTGTTTTCACTTGGTTGAGAATGCTCAAAAGCGGTTATGTACCCCTTAAGTGTCTGACAGTCCTGACAGTGTGGACCAGTAGTAGTAGTTCATTTCCTGCTAAAAGGCAAGAACTCTAAGGGGCCTGGTATTGGGTTGGGAAATACTGGGGTTTCTTCAACTCATCAGTTGAAAGGGTTCCTCTTTTTTAAACTTTCTAATTTCAGTGGAATGTGGAGAAAGGGGTTTTCAGCACAGATTCAGCAGATAAACTTTTCAGCCTCTCATGAGCCTTTTGAACAGAAGATTCCTACTCCACATCCCAAGCACCAACCACATGTTGCATGTCTATATTTCAGCCGTAAGCAACAACTTGATTATACTAGACGAGAGGGTGAGACTGTGACATGCAACTCAAACCATTTCCTGTGGCATCTGGCCATTTGGTCTGAACTTGCACTTCTCTTTTGGCTCCTATTCGCTTTCCTATTACAGACTGTCGATGTGGGAAAACTGGGGTCAAACATTAAGACATATGAAGGCTTCCATTATGTGCGAAAGGACTTGAGCTAGATTAATATTACAAATTTAAAATTTCATAAGTTCCATACAAACCTGAGACAGATCTAGAAATTACTTGCTAATGTGTCCTATTACCCCAGCATTTACAAATAAAGAAACTGAGTCACAGCCTTTTGACTTGTCTGTATGATCTATCACAGTTATAATGGGTGCTTGCACCATAATGAATTTGAGAAAACAGGTCTGTGTGAATTGCTAGAGTTGAATGTATGTATTTAAAGATTTTTTTTTTTTTGAGACAGGGTCTTTCTATATAGTCCTGGATGTTCTGGAACTTGCTATGTAGTAGACTAGGCTGACTTTGAATTCAGAGATTCTCCTACCTGGGCCTCCTGAATATGTGAGCCACCACACCCAATCAAGTATTCAAAATTTTAATGATGTGACTTTGAAATTTACCAGTTTGTGGTAAAAGAGTGATCTTACTTCTGTCTCCCTGACACCTGCCCCAGTACAAACTACTCTGATCAGTAGTAAAAAGTTTAATTAAAAATAAAAGTTAAGGTATAGTTTCCATTAGTAGTTTTATACATCCAGTAAGAATCTTCCACTTTTAAGGATACTCAAGGAAAAACATTAATCTCTATCAATAAGAACACCTTGGTACTATTCTCCTACTCTTTGGCTGTTTGTCCTGTTTCATGTTTTATGTTTCATTTGATTTGATAAGGTGATTGGATGATTATGAGATAGTATCACTTTCCGTTCCTAGCTAACTTCACTGTTCCATGGTGAACATAGCTTGATGCAGTAGATCAAATATTGGAGCCCAGAGCATAATACTGACATGAATTTTCCTTTTTCCCCATCAAGTGTATTTTTTGAGCTTTACATGATTTCTGTAAGCCAACATAAAACTAATAAAAAACAGGAATGCATTAGGACACATATGAAGAAAACAATTTGACAAAACAATATGATTTGGTAAACTTTTTAGGAAAGAGTTCACCTGATGTTTTTTTTTTTTTTCTACTTGTAGAGTTTATTTATTTTTTTAATTTTTTTATGTTTTTCATTTTACATACCAATCCCAGTTCCCCATCCCTCCCATTCTCCCTACTCCTCCCCTCTACCTCCTCCCACCTCATCCCCATCCACTCCTCAGAGGCAGTAAGGCCTCCCTTGGGGAGTCAACAAAGTCTGGCATACTAAGTTGAGGCAGGGCCTAGCCCCTCGCCCCGTGTCAAGGCTGAGCAAGGTATCCCACCATAGGGAATGTGTTCCAAAAAGCCATTTTATGGACCCGGGAGAAGTCCTGGTCCCACTGCCAGGGGCTCCCCAAACAGATCTAGCCATATAACTCACCCACATTCAGAGGGCCTAGTTAGGTCCTATCACCTGAGATTCTTAACTTAAAGTTTTGCAAGTATAAGACTTTAGACTAAATTTTAAAACACTAATGCTGTATATTATGTATCACTATAATAAATTGCCAATTATGAGTATGTGTAAAGGAGTTCTGTATGCTTATAAAACAGCCATATAGCAATAGAAATTATTTATCTGGTTTATTGTGCTGTTAGGGGTTCAAAACTCTTCAAATTATATGAAAAAAAATTGGATATGTTGATTTTTGTGGGTTTCATGCCTTTTGTTAAGTTTTTTTTTTTTTTTTTTGCAAGCATCCATGACTTGTGGGAAGAAAAAGAACCATTGCAGTTCAAAAGACAGCAAAGGTGGTGATGTGGGTGGCAGGGGCGGGGAGGAGGGGGGAGTTGAGGATTCTGCTGAAGGGAGAAGAATACTGCTGGGATAATAAGTTCAGCCATGATGGAAGTCTCTGCCACGTTCAAAAATTAACTGGATCACTGTAGAGGTTTTTTAAACTATACGACTTGTGTATAGTTGTATTCATTTAGTTGCTCATGGATTTGGAAAAATGAATATAGGGTTTTTTTTATAGGCAAAGTGACAGTTATTTATATCCTCAGCTTATTGATGGCTATTAGTGAGAACTTTTTCACAGTGGCCATTCAGAACAGTGATGACTTCTGTTTAAGGTTGTGTGAGTCAAATTTTAGCAGAATTCACTTCATTTTTTTTTTTTCAGATATGTATCCTTATAATGAGTACCCCTCCACCCATCCATCCCACCCACCCATCCATCCATCCATCCATCCATCCATCCATCCATCCATCCATCCATCCATCCATCCATCCATCCACTCATTAGGGTTGGCAGTTCTTTCAATAACTCAACACATTTTAAATAATATGTTAATATCAGAGTTTTGAATTTTATGTAACTTTCTGGTTAGGCCCAGATTGTAACATTGCTATTAAACAGCACGACTCTTAGATTGATTAGTAATTTGGTGTCAACCATGGCTTGTATTTTGTTAAACTGAATAGGAGAGAAAATGAGCTAGAGAAGTGAAAGGGAATAGTTCTAGCTTGTATCTCACATATTTAAAGCAATGATTTAAACATTAAGAGAATGTAATGTTGGAGCTAGACAGATAGTTCAGTTGGTGAAGTGCTTGCATGCCAGCATGAGGAGCTGAATTTGTTGTCCAGCAATCTAGTATAAAGCCTGGTCTGCTGGCGCACATTTGTTATTCCAGTGCTGGAGGTAGGAGGAGACAGGCCAAGTGAGCCTAGCCTAACCAAAGGGGACCCATATTCCTTTGAAAGAGACTGTCTCAAAAAAAGGAAGTGTCTTCTGATGAATGGCCCCCAACATTGACTTCTGGCTTCTAAAAATATATGTATATTCTTGCAAACACACACACACACACACACACCACACACACACACCACACACCACACACACACACACACACACACACACACACACACACACACACGAGAGCCAGAGTGAGGGGGCATTTTTAAAGTTTATCTAATACCTCCATCTTCTATTGCAAGGTGGTGGATATAGAGTAGCATGACACTATTTGAAATTTTTGTATTTTTATTTTCTGCCTATATAATTTCTGAAGCTGTTGCTTTTTTTTTTTTTTTGACAGTGAAATTAAGTTAATAACTTTTTCTGATAGGTGGGAGAGGTAGATTGAAGCCAGGATTTGGATGTTAGCTGTTAACTAAAAGTTAATTATAATTGCACACTAATATTCTGGTTACTATGTAACTGATTTTTTGGCTATAATTTTTTTTACAATTGATGAATTATGTTTTGATTTTTAAATAATAATTAATGGTTTTATGTACAGATTTTTTTTTCAAGTGCTTACCATAACTTCTAGGTTTGGTGAAATGAAATTGTTCATAGTCAGGCCAGGCATAATGGTGCATACCAGTATTTCCAGCATTCTTGAAGTAGGAACATCTCACATTTGAGGCCAGCCTGGGCTATAGAGTGAGACCTTGTCTTAAAAAAAATTCCTAGTCCAGTGAAGCAGAGAGAGGAGTTAATTATATGAGAATATTTTAAAAATGTCACAGAGGGGCATTTCAGTCAAATTGGATTTCTTTTCTTTTTTGTTTTTCATTTTTTGAGACAGGGTTTCTCTGTGTAACAGCCCTGGCTGTCCTAGAACTTACTCTGTAGACAAGGCTGGCATTGAACATACAGAGATCCACTTGCCTCCCGAACACTGGGATTAAAGGCATATGCCACCGCTGCCTGGCGGATTTTTTTTTTCCTAGACAGGGTTCTTTTGTAGCCCTGGCTGTCCTGGAACTTGCTCTGTAGACCAGGCTGGTGTCTAACACAGAGATCCACCTGCCTCTGCCTCCCAAGTGCTGGGATTAAAGGTGTGTACCACCACTGCCCAGCCAAATTGGATTTTTAAAACCATATCTTTATGTATTAAGGTGTGGGGCTTTCCTGAGTGCTGCAGCTGGGACAGTGCTGGAGCACTCACTCTGGTGG